CGGAGTTAAACCACGACACTTACCTACAAAAAGCCAAGACCACCATAACTGAAAAAATCCCAACTCACCTGCATGCAAACAGCATTTATTTCTACCCAGTATCAAATGCTTAAACAAAAAATCGTAACTTATGCTCAGCAAAAGTTGTCCCTCCCCCCGACACCCCAAGACAGCCTTATTTTAACAGATGTATAATTTTGTAATTCGTCCACAAGGCCTTTCCTTGGGCACATTTACAGAGTAGGTGCTAAAGAGAGAGCCTATTTCACACTGTTTCCTTTCATGTTTTTTCTCCAAAACTCTTCTAGAGTTAGGAAAACAATAAGTTAAAACCCTAAACCAAACAAAAACCCTTTTACTTGACATGAAGACATGTATCCTTCCTTGGGGAAGGATGCAAAAACACCGATTACCCTATAAGAAAGGCCTATATACGTCCCGTCCGATTAAAAAGAAAAAGTGAACCTACTTATAAAACTATAGGGTAGAATTGTCTGCCTGAACACAGTCTGCAACAAAACCCAACAAATACACACTGCTGAAGTTGGGACCACAAAGCTCACCTAAACAACATACCTTGACAGGAATATCATCCTCCTGATTTGCGGTTTCTGCAGTGAAGACATACGATACTTCTTTGTGAGATGTTGTCTGCCTGCAAATGGCACATTTAATCGCGCTCCGGCGGGTGCCAACGCTGTACTGTTGTATGATGATAGCGACACACTCGTTACAGAAACAGTGTCCACATGTCAGCACCGCCCACTACGTGGGGAATTAGAAAAACAATACAACAGCATATCAGTTTCAGATCAATGCAAAACAGTGCACTAATACATAATAAGCTACATTTTCATAGAAACATTGTTTTCATGAGACTCATCAGATCAATTTTTAGAACTCCAGCTGCTAAAAAGCCTGGATTTCAAAGTTTTCCAGCACAGAAATATTTGTGTTCCACAGCAGTTCTCTGTGCTTATTGTTCATGTTTTACATTTTTCCAGTTTTAAACTTACATACATTACAGTCTATAATTTCTGTTAGATGATTCCTAACACGTAAGTTAAGCACTCAAATGAACAATCTACAACATTCATTAAAAAAAAAATTACATGACTGTTTCTACTGGCCTTCTGTACAAGTCTATACATCCATACTAGATCAGTTTTTATTTAAAAAGTCCTAAAGAAAGTGCTTTAATTTTTATGTATTAAGTCCTAGACATCATCTTTGGATTTAAGAAGAAAGAAGATTTTGAAGAGAATGGTTCAATCTTTCTTTGACAGAATGCTTTAGAAACAGAAGATTGTAATGCAAAGAAGCTGCCCTTCCTGTGTGGGCCTAGAACATCTATGAGTTGGCTATGACCCTCTGTTACAGAGAAGCAATTTGTAAACCAGTGGTTTTGTGCCTAGAAATAGTGTCTTACTCTACTAGTCTGTTCCATAGGCCATTCTAAGAGGCAAGAAGAAAACCATTTTCATGGGTCCAAGTAGCAGAGTGAATTGACTAAATGATTCATTATCAAGCAAAAGGTCTTCTACACTTTTTAAGGGTCTTTTAATCATGCACAAACAGGATGCAAAGCATTTAAAAAGTTCCTTGCAATGTGAGGCTACTGTCGTCGCAAGTGGCAGTCTCAGCCAAAGCTAAAGAAAAGGCTGTTTTTCCTTTCAGTGAGCTGCTCCAGCTCAGAGGTGAAGCACAATGGCAGTTGAGAGGGCAAACAACTGTTCTCTGTAAAAACCTGTATCGCCCTTGGAAGAAGAGCGGAGGGAATACTGAAAACATGGCAGGACAGCAGTTCATGGTTACACGTCTATAAAGCTAACTGAAGCTGAAACACCTTCAAGTATCTACCCTAAAAAAAAGCCAATTTAGTCTGACTGTAGGAGTCCTCTCAGGTTTTTATCTAACATGTTAAGTATAAACTACACCTTTGTACTTTATGATACAGATCAGTTTTGATTAAATCTCAAATTTCAACTCCTGCAGTTCAGGAGGTAAGTGGTAGGAAAGAAATCCAGATTGCCAGCCTTTATTCTATTGTTTTTCACTATTGTTTAAGTAGCCAATATGCGTTTCTTTAAAGTCTAATAGAAAAAAATACTATAAGAGCAATTATAGTAAAATACAACATACTACAGAATTTTATCTATTTCTTCATTCTATTACCTTACAAATAGCAATGAAATCTTTCTGATAGAAGTATGAAAGCAACATTTCAGATTTACGAAGCAATCAGCAACACATGTTCTTGCAATGCCCCTGCCAAAACACTTAAGCATTGATGTCAACAGCAGCAGAGGTGCTTGCAACTGAGCAAGATGTTATTGCAGGGGAGAGGCTGGTTGGTACTTTAAAGGAAAGGGCTTATTTCCCGTTTCAGTACAATGTTGGTTTCAAAACAGATGTTGAAAATGTGACACACAACTGACTCAGATCTAAGTAAAAATGCTCTAAAAACAAAAACCTACGTCTAAATATCTTACCTGTTTTCCCAGTTGACGTGCACAGATCGGACATGGTTCCGGGTTAACTCCCCCAGTAGTTTTATCCTGAGACTATGAAGTAAAAAAAAAAAATCATCTTTGCATTTCAACAAGTAAAAAGTTAGTCTATTTTTAAAACAAGCTTCTAGAAAAAAATTAATTATTAAGTCCTTAAAGTGTGTGAGCAGATTAAAAAACCATCACTCACAAGTAAATAAGTCTATGTTGAGGAGATAAAAAAAAAATGTAATTTCTGATAAGCAAAGGAGCACTGTTGATATTGCAAGTCCTTCAGACAGCATCTGCGTCTCCCCTACAGCTTTGAAAAACCCTGGTAAAATACTAGCTTCAAGCAAGAAGCTCCTCATATTTTCAATCAATCAGCTTTACATTGTTTTAAAAACACTTAAATATACTTAATCATGCTTAACTCTGCTTACTTAAGCATAACTGTACTTACTTGATCACTATGATTATAATAATATAACATACAGGGGATTGTCTGTTTTCTGTTTGTTTGGTTCTGGTTTCTTCAGTTTGTGTTTTGTGGGTTTTTTTTTTTTTTAATTAATATGACTCAACCTACAGAGCTGCTTGTCCTTTTGTTTAAAAAGGTAAAATACCAAGGGTATGTGGAGAGATATGTAATTTTAAAAGGCTTTTACTAAGGCCTAGATAGTTTTAATGAAAGTTTTAAGCATCTAGAACTAGTTCATAGTTTTTTAACTGTAACTTAAGCATATACTTAAGTATACAGTTATAAAACTATTTACTTAGTAAATTTTGCTCAAGTTATTTACTTAAGCAAATAGCCAAAGTATATAAGGAAATAAATAACTTGACGATTATGCAGTAACACAAAGAACAGCCTACTGAATTTCAACATGTATTTTCTGTAAAGATTCATTACATTTTCTTTAAAATGTAAGTTTTAAATAAAAATAATAGTAAGTTTCTCCCACTAGCTAAATAGAGTACATCACTTGACCAAAATGATGGAACTGTAACACTTACTTTCTCCAGATTAGTGAGATAGAGAAGTTGTCCTAATTTCTTTTGAAGCTGTGATTTGGCAACCGCCTTGTCATTCAAAAGTTTCACTCGATTTTGCTCTACCTAGGGAAACAGTATTGAACACATTAAAAAAAAAAAGAAAAATGGTTAAGTCCCACAATAAGGCTTAAATTCATTTTTTGGCAAAACTCAACTGAATCAATTTCTGGAGATAGACAAATTTACAGGATGGGCTGTTCTTCAAAAGATGCATTTCTCCCCAAACAAAAATGATGATCTATTCCTTTGCTGTACCCAGTATGAACACAGTACTGTGCACGGGGTAAGACCCAGCGGGTATACAAAGCTGCTCTTTATTGTTTTATTTGCATCACTGGTTCTTTCCAGAGACAAAACCAGTTTAAAATAACTTCACTTTTAAAAGAAGTTTCTTTCAAATTTAATTCAATCTATCATCTATCTTATTACAGCCAAATATATCCTAGACTCTACCACTAGTTCCAAAACCAATGTGTAATAAACAACTTTTCTTTATACTTCTTAGCTTTCACTTTTCATTTAGTCTATATGAAGATAAAAACATCAGGCTGACTCCTTTAGATTAATTAGTTGGTAGGGGTGTAGTTGCTGCAGAAGAGGCAAGTACCCAAAGGATGAGGCCACAGCAATGAGCGTTTCTTTCGTTATTGCAAACGCATACATAAATGTTAGCCTTTGTTAAACATTTGTTAAGCAAAATGCTCCATTTTAAAAACTGCTTTAATACAGAGAAAATATCTATTTCCCTGCAGAAAGAAGCACTCTTATCTAACACTGAATCTCATTGAAAAAAAAGCACAAAATTTTTCTATTGAAAAGATTTCTATTTAGAAAAAAAAGTTTAAATCAACCCAGGATTTTCTTCATGTTCATGATCAGAAGAAAGTGTCTCGGACAAGGCTCAGAAGTACCAAGATACTAAAGAAAGATTTGTCTTTTAGGTTTTCACTGCTGTTTTTTAGGTCTTTCCACAAAGTAGCAATATGGGTGAGAAATTAGGTCAACCTAATTTTCCACCAGGTTGGAAAACCAGGCAATTGTAGAGAAAGGTCTCAGAGCCATTCACCTGCTGCTGGAAGGACAGCAGTCTTTTGGAATCATGCCACTCTTACAATCAGAAGGCTGACAAGAATATATCAGAGGCAGAACCTCAAAAAGGCCCATATAATGAATGCAGAAATAGATAAGAACTCTTTACTCCAAAGCTTTCTGAAATGGAAACAGAGGCATATTATAGCCCTGGTACGCAGATCTAGATACAGATTTTATTTTCTGTAGCTGGCAGGTTCTTTCTGAAAATACACCCTAATGTTTCTTTCCTGCCAAGTACTTTACCTCATGTGGTTCTATGATGTGAAGAACCGGTGGATTTGGTTTTGGCTCGTCAGGATGACGCACTCTCAGCCGTTCTGTGGCCATTGCCAGTTCATCAATAGCAGACACGTGATCCCTCAGCACCATCCAATATTCATGAAGCAACTGTAAGAAAAGCCTCAACATAGTTGAACTGAGTTGAGTTCCCTTTATATGACCCCGCCATACAACGTATAATGTGAAAATCTTTTTAGAGAAGGGATAACATTTCTTTGGAGTAATTCAGTCACAACAACAACAAATTGCTAAAGAAAACTAACAGTGTAGAGAAATCACCTTGCCTGCTTTCTTTTCCAGCCTCTCTTTATGAATAACTGTCTCTCAATTCTTCTACAACAAGCTCAGAAACAAAATGTCTTACAGGACTAAGCAAATGCTGAATAAAATAATGGAAAATGATTAAGCAATTTTGAATAGATAGCTAGTATAGTACTAGGACTACTTCCTGAGGATGAACTATGTTTTAAAGCAATGTTAACAGGTTGAGTTGTCTTGAAAGAAGCACAGAGAAGCACAAGGTGAAGATAACATCAGATTCATTCACCCAAGAAAAAGTGAATTCTGGCTTTCTACAAAATAAATGGCTACAACTGGGAGTATACCATACACATAAACTCCTAGTTGATTGCTGATTTTTCAATTGTAAAAATATTTCTAAACACTCAGTTGTTTAGAGGGGGGCAGGTTGTTTTTTTGAGGGTTTTCCTTTTAGGTCATTTGTTTTAAGCTATGCCTACACTGCAACACAAAATTACGGTGTATTAAACCTGGCATACAAGCTAAGGACAGAAAAGTTGAAAGGACCTTACTCTCCCAAAACTGAAGAAACTAAATAAATATTAGGGAGAAACAAAGTTAAAATTATTTTTTCTTTAAAAAAAAAAAGCTCACAATTAAAGTAAATCAGTAAGGCTCTTGGTTGCCGGTCTAAAAGCTAATTCAAGTAACATCAGTAATTGAAGTTCCCTTTTCATGATTTATTAATAATTCTACTGCTACCTAACGCTTTCTCAGAAATCCC